GTAATAGTAATAGTAATAGTAGTAATAGTAGTAGTAGTAGTAGTAGCAGCAGTAGTAGAAATAGTAGTAGCAGCAGCCGTCGTAGTAGTAGTAGTAGTAGTAGTAGTAGTAGTAGTAGTAGTAGTAATAGCGGGCAAATAGGCTAGCACAATAACTTTCGCAGAACAATAATTTTCTTTAGCATACCCATCGCGGAACTTTCGCGATGGCATGTTATGTTATACCAGTGGTCGTTTTGTATAAATACAGCCACAAGGACCTTTAGTTCAATGCCCATATATATATATATATACACATAACATATTGTGTGCTATATATTCAAAGTTATAACAACATTTTACGATGTTTTTCCAGCAGGGTATGGGCTTGTGATATATAGGGTTTTGTTTTCATTCAGAACTCCAAATTCGGAGGAGCCTGTGGACCCGGGGCGGTTTGGTAGGCTTAGGACCTTAGGATTCTGCCCTGCGTTTGGTGGCCCTTCGGTTCCGAGGCATCTAAAGCCACGGCTCCCTGTTCCGTACCCGGCTTTAGGGCTTGGGACTGCGGAGTAAAACCCTCATGGGTAGGACGACCCACGGAATGGCGTGGTACCCAAGATCCTCGCCATGACAGAATTGAGAACATAACGCGAAACGACAACATCATAAGAGAACCTGCAGATAGATATGCGTGAAGATTCAAACTTCACACCGTTTCGCACAACCCCTAACCCCCCAGGTACATACCATATAGGGTACTAGAGCCCCAGGGCCCTATATAGTAGGTACCTGGAGGGTTCGGGAACTGCTTCAACCGTACAAAACTGCACACATTTCTCCAAGCGGAGACCTAGAGACTGAGCGTTTTGAACCCTTGAGGGACGCACCCGAAAAGGTAACTTTCCCAAACCCTTCAAATACCTACAAAATAGGGCCCGAGGGGCTCTAGTACCCTATATAGTAGGTACCTGGGGGGTTAGGGTTTCTATAGCTGCGATTTTGCGGAAGCCCGACCGGTTACACTTCGGAAACCTCTGGACCTGGAGCTCCAATCTGCCTGCAGGTCAATCTGAGAAAAGAGCGAAACTGTGCTGATAACTGTAGTAACTATAGATACTAGGACTAGAACTGCCACTATGTGATTCTTTGAAATCCCAAAGCCTAGGTGTGTGCCATTGCCGAGCAGCTTGACGGAATGTGGGCGCTTATCCAGCCCATGCAAAGGTGGAAAAGGGTGTCCATGACCATAATCCAGACCTGTACAGCAGGAGTTGAGGATGCGCGCACTCTATGAATGAGACTCTTGGGACTGCTGGTGTCTCTTCTTGCGTCGTCACGTGTCAGCTAAGACCGCTGAGATTTGGGCTGAAGCGTGGTTTTACGTGAAGGAGGGGTCGCGGATGAGGCCCGGACGCATGTGGCCACCAAATCTGCCCTCGTCCGTGTCCAGGACGCAACGCATGGGTTCATCCTGGGCGACCGGCGATCGCCATGTCTCCGAAGTCTTCCCAAACCCCTATTCTTTCGGCCAGCTCCTCTAAGCCGCCAAAACATCTCGGCAACCACAAAAAACCCTTGAGGCTGAAGCTCCATCAGCCCCTGTTTTGGGGACTGGACGTTCAGCGGCTCAGGAATCTAGAGGTTCAGGCTTTAGGGCTGTGTAGGGCTGTATAGGGCTGCGGGCCCAGATGTATGACAGTGGTGTAAATGTGGATATAGAAAAAACATGATCAGACAATATCTCGGATCTGCCTGAGGACCTGGAAACAGGTAACTCGCACTGAATCCCGAACCCCTAACTGCTCAACCCCCCCTTTTCCAAAAAACAACAAAAAAACGAACCCCCCAAGGCCCTTAAGATGCAAACCTGAAAAACCCTAAACCCTGAACCCTACGTGCGAACCCTAAAACCCCTAAACCCCTAAACCCCTAAAACCCTAAAAACTCTAAACCTAAACCCTAAATAAACCCCTAAACCCCCAAAACACCCGCAACAAAAAACCCTAAAAGCTTTGAACCGCGCTCGACGTCTGAGGCCTGGACCGAGTGAGTTCCGATCTGGTAGTCCTTGTAGCTGTTGCAAGGGTGGAAGTTGAAGGCCTGAGCTTCAATTTGCTTTGGGCTTAAGGGCTTAAGGGCTTAAGGGCTTTAGGGTTTAGGGTTTATAGGGTTTATAGGGTTTATAGGGTTTAGGGGTTTAGGGTTTAGGGTTTATAGGGGTTTAGGGTTTGGGTTTAGGGTTTAGGAGTTTAAGGGTTCAGGGTTGTTTTAGGGTTTAGGCCTAGGAGTTCACGGTCTTAAGGGTTTCGGGGTTTAGGGCTTAAGGGTTCAGGTGTAGGGGTGTAAGGGTTTAGGGGTTTAAGGGTGTATAGTTAAGGTTTCAAGGGTAGGGTTTTAGGGATTTGGCCGGAAGCTACCTCTGCATTGCTATCGATGGGAATACCAAGTTTGTGCCGATTATTGTCCTAAACCCCGAAACAAAACCCTACTGTTTGTCGAGACACTCTCCGCAATCGGAGGCGATTCTGCGTTCTGAGGTCTTGTGGCCAATCTCAGCGCTTCCGTTAGTTTAAGGGTTCAGGGTTTAATTAGGGTTTTTGTTGCTTACCCATGGGCCCCATACTAGTTCCTTTTTGGGATTACCTTATAGGATTCTAAATATCAACCCCAAAAAGGAACCACTATGGGGCCTATGGGTAAGGGTTCAGGGTTTAGCATCGATTGCTTCTTGGATGTTCATGCTCTGCCCAAAGAAGGCGGATTGCAATTTGGCTGGCATCCTGCAGCCACAGAGGATCTGTGAGCACACAGTCTAAGGGCTCCATAAAAGAAGATACTTGCTCTGGCAAAATTACCCTAACCCTCCAGGTACCTACTATATAGGGCCCTAGGGGCTCTAGTACCCTATATAGCAGGTACCTGGGGGGTTATGGAAACATTTGCCAGGATTCATTGTGTTGAAACCCTGAAAAATGCACAAGCTCGACATTTTGGACGGTCCACGGCCGAGGCCGGGCCCTTTGCTGCAGCCAAGAGTCAAAGACAAGCTCACCGCGCTCGAAGATGATGACCTGGAGACTGGCCGGGCAACTGGGCTGCAATAGGGTTTAGGGTTTAGGGTTTATCAAACCGCAATTCTTGTGTATGGGCGCTGAAGAGGCATGCCTACGAAGGACAACCCAAGCAACAAGCACCGCACGAATCACCAAACAAACGCTGCATGTTATTTACAGTCGAAACGACGATGCAAACTCCGGCCTTGTCCATCTCATCCTTCTTGCTAACATACTGGTGGTGCGCGTTGACGAAACTGAACCGGTTCTCACACGCCTCGCAACAGTTCGTCCGACTGCATGGCTCCTCTGCCCTGCAAGCATCCCACAACCCTCGAAACTTCCACGACGTGCAGCAATTCTAAGGGGCTTTCTAGATACAAACAGGGCCTCCTCCATGCAGAAGTTTGAACAGGGATCATGGGGTACTTCTCCATGCTCGCGAAAGGGGGATTTACAGTCTCCCGGCAATCTTGAGCAACTGCCTGTCTAGAAAGGACTGTAGCCGCAGCCCATCAAGCTGAAACCGCGCGTGAGCTCGCCATGACCGGTTGCTTGTTCCCCTCCCTCTCTCCCTCTCTCTCTCACCCCCTCTCTGTTTCATTCCTTCCGTCGAGTCGTTGAGGTGGGCTGATCCCCTCCACTCTGGAGGAAATTCCGACAGAGCACCCCTTGCGGCGCTCACTTTCGCAAAGCTCCCCCGGAAGACCTCGCTCCTCTTTGCGTCTCAGAGTCATCATCTACCGTTGCTCTTCTTCTTCCTACCGTTGCTCTTATTCTTCCTCTTCTGTTCCCTCCCCTCGTTTTCAACACTTTGCGTGGGGACTGTGAATTGTTTTCCATGCTGGCTGATCACTACAGCTTCCACTTTGTGCCCAACCCAACCCGGGTTGGCCCTGAAAAAAGCTCTGAACATAAACTCGCACATACTGTCCTCTTGGAACTCTTAAACCCAATACCGCCAAAAAAGAGAATCCCAATCAAGCGGCCTGCGGAGCAACCCTAAACCCTAAACCCTGAACCCTAAACCCTTAAAAACCCTGAACCCTAGACCACGAAATACACGACCGAAAGCCTGCATCAGCTCTTCGAAGCTTTGGAAGAACTTGTATCTCAGCAGCTCGTCTTCGGCGAGATCCCAACCTGAAGTGACGGCGGTTGTCGTCGTAACAATAGTAGTAGTAGTAGTCGTCGTCGTCGTCGTCGTGGTGGTGGTGGTAGTGGTGGTAGTAGTGGTAGTAGTCGTAGCAGCGGTTGTCCTTGATGGTGTTATGGTTGTAGTTGTGGCTGTGGTTGTCAATGTGGTTGTGGTTGTTGTTGTGGCTGTGGCTGTTGTTGTTGTTGCTGCTGCGGTGGCGGTGGTGATGTTGCTGCTGCTGCTGTTGTTGTTGTTGTTGTCGCTGTTGTCGTCGTTGTCGTGTTCGTTGCCATTGCAGTTGCAGTTGCCGTTGCCACTGTCATTGTCGTTGTGGTGGTTGCTGTTGGTGGTGGTGGTGGTGGTGGTGGTGGTGGTGGTGGTGGTGGTGGTGGTGTTGGTAGCGGTGGTGTTGTTGCTGTTGTTGCTGTTGCTGTTT